TGCTTTTCCTAGGAAAAGTACCAAATGTTGCTGTGGTTTATGCAGGTTCCCCTAGATTCTCCTGTGATAATACAAAGCAAATTAAGGTAGAATATTATTTTGAACTGAGTTGATAAACTCTTTGTAAGAAGACTTGGATTCAGTTTTATTTTTAAATTTTATTTGGTTATGTCAAATATTGAGAATAATGCAAATCATTTTTGAGGATTTGAATTTTAAAGAAAATTAGTTTATGCTTCTGTTCAATGGTGAAGTCTCATGGAAAAGTTAGTTGGTCTCTCAGGAACCTTTGGGCCCTTTTGTATCTACACTGCTTTGGAAAGCCAGACTGTCTCTGCTTTACTAAACAGGGAGGGAGACATAGTGATGTCGTGGAGACTTGCTAGGAGGTTTGTTGATGTAACTAAGTAGAAATGGTTCTACGGATAAAAATTTCCTAACTAATATTTAAATAAACCACTCTAACAGAACTTTCATGGGATATGTGCTTATTATGGCTTCCATGATAGAGCAGGAATATATTTGCTTCCCATGTTACAACAGTCACTATTACAATCGTTTGTCATCTAATTGCTAAGCTGCATTATTTCTGGGAAGTCGTACTGTTGTGATAGTATCTTTTGCATCACATAACTTACAGATTGTTCATTCTGTGTTAATCCTCCTTTTCATGTCATTCCTCTGTTTCATTTTGACTTTTTTTTTCATTTTACTCCTGGAATATACTTGTGGGTTTAGCAAGTAGTGCTAGACAATTTTGAGAGGATGGAGCAATTGAACTATACATCTCTTCTCCCTTTTCTTCTAATTTATTCAGCAAGTATACCTTACTTGGGAGTATTGCAAGTCTTGCTTTTTAATTTGGGGATAAAAGAAAAAGGTCCCTTATGTGTATTAGGAAAAAAATGTATTAATTCAAAATGTTTTACAGGGAAAATTTAGCAAAGAACAAAATGAACTACATTAGCAAAATAAACAGCAAGTAGAAAAAAATCACTTGACTTCCAAATGAAAGAATAATCACAATAAATAGTAAGTCATGGGAAACAAGCAATTCTCTGAAGTTTGATAAAAAGTTAGGATATATTCTTACATGGTTTTGTTAATCTTTCTGAACTATGCCTCTGAAATAATTGATTCCTCTTGAAATTGAGAAATAGAAAACATAACTCAGTTCTGTTGTAAAAAATACAAGGAGCCATTAAAAACAGTGACTGTTTCCAGAAATTGTATTGCAGTGATAAATATTGTGCACTCTGTTCTTTTCCCAAGGAAAAATTTCAATGATACGAAATCCAGCATACAATGTGCTAAAACTAGAAATGCTTTCTAAATGTTTTACTGGGGAGAAAGCCACCATAGGGATCTAGAAAAGCTTCAGACTTTTTCTGATGACTTCTTAAACAATGTTTATCATTAATTTGATACATGAGGAGAATCTAATCACTTCTGAACAAAGAAGGTAATGCTGCAGAGTACCTCTCTCACATGGGACCATGGAGTGCCCTCAGGCCATTAAGAACAGGAGAGTAAAGCAGACAGATTGACTGAAATTGTCTCAGCTTTTGACACGGCCTCTAGGAAAAATTAAAGGTTTTCTCTGTAAGAGTCAGTTAACAGGTTTTTTTCTGTATGAGAGTAGTAGTTTTCAAATGTATGCAACATCTTCTATTAGTCATTAAATGCTCTTCTTGTGGGATAACAAGTTTTATTTTTAGATATTTATTTACCATAATCTGATAAACAACATATGCTAAAAGGGAAGAAGATATAAGTTAGCAAAATGTTTCTACAGTGTACGATGTAGCAGCAAAAGCAATAAATAAGAAATAATTTAAAGCAGACATTTTCTTATTAGTTGAATGCTTTTTATTTAGTTCTTACTAGTTCTTATAGCTGAACTCACATAAACATTAACTTTTTCAGTAGCAGTAGATTAGTAAATATATGAAATACATAAGTACTGCTACAGATATGACTGCAAAACCTAATTAATTATCTGTGACAACAGGAAGATTTTGAATGTGACAGTTGTTAGGCATTTTATGAGCTCACAGGAACTACAGGTAATGTACTGTAACTACCTGCCTAAGGTAATGAGCTGCTTTGTGGAAGGGAGGGCAGAAAGAAATAGCAGCTTTCCAAAGGGATGGAGAGATCCCATATAGAAAAGACCCATTGTGGAGATGGGAAGAGGGGGAAGATGATGAAGGAGAGACTGGGAAGAGGGGAAGGATGAGGATGGGCCAGAGTTGCTGGTCCAAGTCTGATCAGTTTCCGTTCTCAGGTTGTATTAATAATTTGAAGACAAGAAAAGAAACTCTCGGGGGAAAAAAGATTTCTAAAGTGGTGTTAGGGTTATTGGTATGCTCAATAACTTAGCGGTGAGAAAAGTTTCATTATAGTATTGTAGATTTTTATGTATGGTTTTGAAAGTCATTATGCTAAAAACAAATTATAAAGCATAACTTGAAATTAGAGAAGTATGTGCTTTTTCCCTCTAGAATTCTTGCTTATGTCATAAGTCATATCATTCACACAACTTGCTATCAGAAACTGGTTTTATCAAAAAAAATTCAGAATGCTTCAGTATATGCATTAGAGGGACATTATAAGTTAATTATACACTGGTTGTGAAATATTGTCTAACTTTCTGTTTGGATTATAAATACAGTGGATATTTTTACCTTTACACAAATACTGTAAATTGCTATTCAAGCCAGGCACACCATCTTCAATGTTGTGTACCTTTCATAGCTTAAAAAATATATAGCATGCCAATTGTTCTTCATGGTGTGTGTCTGATCGTTTTATATCATGGTCGTAACTGATGGAAGATCATCTAAAACATAAAGAAGGTAGTATCATTCAAAGACAGTAATTTATAAAACCAGGAAATATTTCTCCTCTCCTATCTGCAAAATTCCCTTCCCTCAAACTGAAACCAACTAATGAGTTCAGTAGAAACAAAGTAATCTTTCTGGTAAAAAAATGTAAATGGAAACAACTTTCCCTTCGCTAAGGTAGTGGTAATGGTGACTCACCAAAGGAAGAAGTCCAAAAGTTTTCAGGTGCACCACAGCTGCTGCCAGTCTAGTGAAAGAAATCTGCCTTTCAGTTTGTGTAGGACAAGATTTGCTCAAGTGCTTTCTCTGCTGTTAAAAGATTTTCCTTTGTGTATAATATGGATGATTTAGAAGAAGCTGTGTCAGCACTGATTTATACATTGACAGCTAAGGATAATGAGATATGGGCAAACATACAGCTCACCCTTTTACAGATTAACCTACAGACTGCATTAGGCAAATTTGATGGCATTAAAAGATTTTTCCAATTTGTCTGGAAACAATTTCTCTTTTGTATTGTGTCAAGGGTAACATTTCATGCCATTGTACTAATTTAAATAGCTTTGATAAATTGTTCAAGAGGTTAGAGAATTGTACTGTGTATATATTTTACCTCTTTAAAATAAAAAGGCTATTAACTTAATTGTTAAATGAAATTCATTAGTGAAAATTGAAGGAGCCTGAGAAAGTAGGCTTAAATATTCCAACACTGCAGTACTGGTGCTGTAACATTGCACCAAAATGATTAAAGATCATATTTGGGAAATTATAGTTTGCATTTAGCTTTCAGTACACAGAAACACAGACACTGTTACAGTTATGACAATATTTTATTCCTGTGTAGTAGTAACTCAGATGAAAAATATGGATGAAACTAGAAGAACTTTATAGAAGTTGGTACATTACATTCAGTAGTGGGTGTGATGATTTATTAATAAAGTAAAACGTTATCATAGATTCAGAAGAATAACAGAAAATGCTTTAGTAAAACCTCATTAGCCGTGCAGGCTAATATATAATTGAAGACAGAAGGGCAGAGTTCACTTGTACTTTGTTCATTTTCTTAGTATTGTTCACACACATTTACTCATATATATTATCTGACACTGATGAGTTACCAGCTAGGAGAAGATCTTCTGGTTGTTTAAAGTGAGGTTGTATCATCTTTACTTTGCAAGTCGTGCCCTGAAATGCGTAAGACATGGCAGTATTTATAGGAAAAGCTTTCATCAGCAGAGAAACTGCAATTTTGTATTTGAATGGTTGTTAATTTCAGCAGACTTTTTAAATTGAGCAGTATGTACTGTATCAATGTTTTGAATTGAAAAGGAAATAATATTCTTCAGATGAATGTAAATTTTTCATAACTTAATACTTAAAGATTAATAATGTATAGGATGGATTGCTGAGCTTTATGTCCAGAATTCAAGTGCTCTGTTACAATAGCCTATCTGCACGTAATTGCAGAGAGCACAAAGTACGTAGAAAACCACATACTGAAGGTTACAGCAGAAATACTAGTTTCATTTGGAGCAGAATTAAAGGAGATAAGTAACCAAGTATGTAAGTACCTTGGACACTATTATTTCTACAAATAGAAATATTCTAGAAGGTAATTATTCTAAATCACCCCCCACACTCCTGAACCTCCCACTCTGCACGCATGCAGAGAGACCCCTAAAAGTGATGTCTCTCACCGGTCCCTGCCGCGGCGGGGGGAATTAACATGCAGCTGGGCTGCTCTGATAAATGGATTCTGTTAGGTCACCGAGGGGATGCGTGTGACATTAAGTGATTTACCGTCCTTTACCTTAATGAAATTGTTTCAGCAAGATGACGCTGAGAGCTTTTAATGGATAGCTTTTCTTGATGTAATGAAATTGCATTCCTTTGGCATTTAATATAAGGTGCAGTTATTATTTACTGGAGCTTTCCCAGCGCTGCTGTTTTGCGCAGACAGTTCAGAACAAAAAGGGATTTCTGTGGCAGCGTCCAGGCCAGCACGCTGTGTGACAGCCCCGAGCCTACGAGCGTGTTTGCGAGAGCGTCTCCATCAGCGTGGCCTAGCTCCCCGGCCCTGCGGGAGCTTTGCTTTGCACCTCACGCTGCCGGTGCTTGTTTCCCTTACAAATACCTTCCTAATCTGTTTAACAGGCAACTGGATTACAACCAGATCAGCTGTATTGAAGATGGGGCATTTAGGGCTCTGCGCGACCTGGAAGTGCTGTAAGTATTCCCGTATCTCTTACTTGTAGCAAGAGCTCAGTATCTGGGAGTAGTAATGTAAAAGCTTATCTGTGAGCTGCAGCCTGGTGTCAGGATGGTCGAGTGAAAATATGTCTTAAAATAATCCACTGCGATGTGCTATGAAATGGTAAGACAGTGTGGAGAGGCAGTGATATTCCTTTACTCTGACAGACAGCCATTAAACACAATTAAAAAAAAATAGAAAAAAGCAGATGGCAGATACTGTAAGAAAAGAATATATTTCTCTTTAAAATGGGGGAGGGCAGTATTAATGAAACCAATTAATTTTGTAAATTATCCATCACTGTTGAAGAGCCGAACATTTTCAGGATTGCTTTTGTTGTATACTCTGACATCAATTTGGTCTTTCAGACTCTGTTTAAGGAACAACATACTACATGTATTTGACAATCTGGATGTTTTCAAAGAGGCACTTTTCTATCCAACACTACCGTTATGTGTGGAGATGTTTAGCATGTCCACGTTAACTGCATTTTTTTTAAACATTTTAAATTTTATGTGTATAAATTTGTATACGTGTTTTTTATGTCACTGAAGGTTAGTATTGCAATACTCTTGCATACTTTTTCTCACTATCTCAAAGTGTCCATCAGTGAGGTTAGAGGTAACAAAATTATCATCGGTGACCTCTGACCTGAAAATGGTTACTGTAATGAGCGAAGTGCCACAGTTCTCAAAGAATCTGAGGCACAAGACACATTCCTGAACTATTTGCTCTGTCAGTCAAAATGTCACATTTTTCCTGAGCTTTCTACGTTACGAGAAGTGAAAGACTTTGTGTATCAATGAATTACTTCATGGTAGTTTGAATCACACTTGGTAAATCACAACACCTTGGAGGGAGTAAGGGAGGATTTTTTTTGCTGGATTTTAGGAGGTTTTTTTAAGATTCTGAAGAAAATAAACTTCTTTGGCAATAGATAGCGGCTATATGTCCAAGAAACTAAAGAATATGTGAGCTGCTGGTGATAAAGTTTTTTTGTTATTAAGCAATAATTTGTCTTCTGAGTAAATGGATCTGATAGCTAAATTTGTTTGGTGCTTGGGTTTGTTTGTTTTTAATGTAGTGATTCTAGAATAACAGGTCTACTGTTAACTTTCTGGTATAAAGCCATGTAAAATGTACTGTAGGTTCAATGTTGCATCTAATTGTGAAGTTGATGAATTGTTGGTTGTCTCTCAGTAAACCTGATGTTCTGTGAGATTTTTGTCTTTGGAACTCATATATATGACGGAATAACTTTTCCTGTGATGGCTTAATCTGGTTATTATGTTTTTTAATACAAGCCTTTCTTTACAAATGAAAGTGTTAAATATATATTAAAAAAAAAATCTGCAATTTTAATGCAGAAATTTTAGCATTAATTATTAATGCAATTTTTAGTATTTTTAAAAGATTATCCTTGTCACTTGAAGTCAGTGGTAAAATTTACACATCAATTTCAATGAATGCAAAAAATAAAAAAAACCTCTTAAAATAATAGTCTGCTGAAAAAGTAGGTAGTTAGAATTTTATCAATGAATATACGTAGAATATTAGCACTGTTCAAGTATACAACTAAATGTACACTATCTGAATTATGTTATGTGATAAGCAATGATGTAGAGATGTAAGTTTTTAAAAAATTGAAATAGCTGTTTCAAACAGTACCGAAGAGTTCATATCTAGTTCAGCTTCCTTTCCAATATATCTTAAGGAATGAAACATACATAGATCAGACCATACTGTATATGCACTGTGTAGCATATGAGACTATGTATTTTGTTTTCATTTGCAGTTAATTATTCTATCGAAGCACAGAATGTGTGTATTACTTCAAACTATAAGTATATGATAAAGCTTTAAAGTTACCTAGGTTGTAATCCTGTTCAGTGACAGTTTGAAAGGTTTACCAAATAACAGGTCTTATATATTGGTTAAATAATTGTAGAATCTTAGAGGCTGTTAATGTTAAACATACCAAGTCAACCTGAAATCTGGACAGTTCTGAAAAATGAAGGCAATTATAGGTATAATTCTCCTTGTGAATTTCTGTGAAATTTTATTTTTCCTTTGTCTCTTTCTTTTTTTTTCTTTTTTTCTTTTTTTCTTTTTTCTTTTTTTTTTTTTTTTTTTTTCCAAAGGGAAAATCTGCTGTACTGGGGAAACAGTGGCTATAGGAAAACACATAGTGCTTTCATATTAAAAAATTAAAGTACCTAAGAAATTTTAAAAATGTCTTCCAGTCATCACACTCTTTGCAATAGTATGTAACGCTTAGGTAAAAGTATTCAACCAACTTTTTTAAAGATTATATCTCTGTAATGAAATCAAGCATTTCATCATTAGATAGAAATAGTTATGAAATTACTTAATTCCTTATGTATCCCTTATGTCTAATCCTGACACCTTTCTGTACTTTCGCAAAAATAAATTAGTATCTCGTGTATATGAAATAGCAAAGCAAACATCAAACCTGAACTTGAAAATGAAAAAAAAAATTATAAACATACAATCTTGAACAGCTATGGAAATACATACTGATTTCTGTTCCCTTCATTGAAAAGGTACGATTTCAAAACCTTGTAAGAAGTCATGCAGGAAGAACCATGGGAGCTGTCATTTACCATGTGGACATTGTAGGAAAATCCTGACAAGATTTAATGATTGTCATTTATCCATCAAGGCACCTTTTGCAGATATACCTACTTGTCCATTTTTTGTTATTTCGGTTTTGTTCTGCTTTGAAAAAGACATGATTCTCCCTTTTTCTTCTTTTGATTATTCCCCTCTTTGTTTATGTAGCCCTAAGGGCACACAGGGGAGATCCCTTATGCACAGTGAAGAAAACATTTAGGACGTGGAATGAGTAAGCACACAAAGGTAAAATACAGCACATTGCACCAGTAATTAATTGCCTCGTTAATGTGGAGCTGTATAGCCTGACCCTGTTCAGGGTGCTGTAAATTTACCTTTCTGTGTTTCAGGATCAAAGAGTACTCAAAAATTTATTAAAAATGAGGACAAATTACACTTTGTGGCTTAAAAAAAAAAAAAAAAAGAAAAAGAAAAATGTAAACCACTTTTTATTTCAAAAGGGAAAATGGTCAGTGGGAATTATTAGTGCCATAGTTATGTGTTTAAACTCCCAGAGCTCTTTCTCCATTCTGCTTAAATGTGTAATCTCTAAATCAAAACTGAATCATTTATTTCCTTGTTCTGAAGTCAAGCTTGTTTGTATTTTATTTGGAGCCTAAAGACAATATTTAACAGCAGGATCATTCATAAAGATTCATTATCTTTATAAACTACACTTACCAGATATGATGGGTCTGTGCTAGAAGATTTGTTCCTAGTTCCTAACTCAACCTCCAGGCACCTTGACTAAAATTTAAATTATTACTTTGCTAAAGTATTAAGATTCCTGACCCCTTCCATTGTATAGCAGAAGTTCCCCTATTGTTCATGCAGCTCTGGATCATCTATAGGAACTCTGTTCCATGAAAAATCTGATTGCAGCCCAGAGTTAAACTTTTCCTAAAATTCTTGCAAAAACAGGCATATCTTGTACTTATATGCTCTGTCAAAACATATGGACTCTCAGAATCTAGAAAGAAAATCCAGACTCCTAGAATCAATTAATTTTCTCCAATAACTCTCCTTTATATCAAGATGACAACCTTAGTTTGAATACCATAGATGTTCTCAACACTGGTGGAAGCTTCATTTGAGTGAATCATAGGTTACTGGGACCTCAAATTACTTACGATTATTAATGGAATGATCAAACCATTACGATCAAACCATAATGTTTTACCAGAGGTTGAATAGGGAGATAAAGTTAAGCATGGCTGGTTTTTTTTTTCATTATACTCATCCCTGAAAACAGTACACCATGATCTCATTAGTTATGCCTTTTTAAAAAGTGTACTAAATGTGACATAACTGTAGCATGTTAATATGCTTCTTCTTGACTTCACAGCACTCTCAACAATAACAACATTACTCGACTGTCTGTGGCAAGTTTCAACCATATGCCAAAACTCAGAACATTGTAAGTAGTCCCACTGAAACTGGCTGCCATTTTGTTCAGTCCAGCATACCATTTTTTCCTCTATCAAGTTTTGTCAGTGGTCTAGAAATACATATACAGGCAAAGACAGCATAAGCTCCATTAAAAAAATATTGAGGTATCATGAGGTTGATGAGCGTGAAGTCTGTGTGTGCTGTGTGTGTGTATGGCAGCTAATTCTGAAAGGTAAAACTAACAAGTGATGCCGAACCTGATAGTTGGGGCTCAGGAGATAAAGAAGTAGTTGCATACTTTTTCATCAGCTTTTATAGGATGTGGGATGAATAAGTCTATGAAAATGGTTTCATGACCTTTTCCCAGCTGGGTTTTCTATAGTTTTGTATTCAGTCATGGAAAAGCTTCACCTTCTAACAAAAAAGACAGGGGCAGGGAGGGAGTCTTTTTTATATGTTACAGCTGTATATAGAGAGAAATTGATGTTTTTTGAAAGTCAAAAATTTGTTTTACTTTGAGCTATTGAATGGGTCACATTTCATTTAGGAACATGGAAGAATCTTTGATTGGCTGTCAGATGTGATAAATGGGAAATCTTTATGCTTTTATTACTGTACTGCTAGCAGACCTAATTAAACTAAACTGGCTCTCCAACATTCTTTGTAACATAAAGTTATAGCATCATCCGGTAGTGCTATTATAATTAAAGTTGTGTCAGCATTTACAATAAGGTCCCCATTTTTAGAGGTTATGACTTTCATAGACGAACACTTCAGGCTTCTAAAACAGAACATGGTGAAAAAAGGGTATATGCAAATCATACAGTTTGGAGTTATTTCTTTTGTATGTTTATACTGAACTAAGAATAAATGTATATTGTGTTGAATGTCAAAACCAGAATATATCAAGATTTAGTCCTGAGACTCTTTCAAACAAGTTTTCCAGTGAAGTGGGAATCAAAAATAAATGGGATATTTCCATAAGAGTTCAAGAGTAGTTCTTACTGTTAAAGAACTGCTTTTACAAAGAGCCTGTCCATTTTCTTTTACGCATGTTGGGTTGCATAACTGTTTTGAAATCAGTAAGGCTATTCACTCGAGTTAACATTCCATTTGTAAGTGGAGAAACTTCACGCAGGTGAGTAGTTCTGTTGATTTCATAACAGAATTGTAACTATTCTTGCTTGGACAAATACAAGAGTACTTAAATTGTGCTGACCATGGGCTTTTGGTGGCCTCAGCTATATTTTGAGAATAGAATTTCATTCCATTCTTTCAAGTCTGAGACTTGAAAACACGAATGTCTGTGCCTCTTTCAAACCTTCAAATACAGTTTCTATACTGAACCATAAATTACAGTGAATCACATTAGCAACATTTACACTTTTTTGATGGGATTTTTAACCTTTTGAAAAGTTATTTTAGAAACAAAATAAAATGGGACACACAGAGTCCTAGCTTATAGCTGTAACATCCCATTTGCAGTCAAAATATGCTTGTATAACCGTATTGATTTCAGCGGCATTAGTTCTAATTTGCAATGGTGTTCTTGCCTACAGCTGGCCGCAGATTGTACTGAATGAGTGTGCTGTGTTGTAAGCTATATTTGCAAAGGATTCGCCCAAGTATTAGCACAGGAAAATACATTGCCTTTAATTTCTAGTCATTTATGGGCGAAAAAAAAAGAGTTAGTTAAAATCTTTTGTTTATGTTGGTCACACATTTTATGTTGCTTTTCAGGGTTTTTTTAATGGATTAATTAGACCCCTTGTCTAAATTCTGATTTTCTTATAATTCTTTTCCAGTTATTTAGCTAGGGTTAAGCACATCAGCTAAAAAGGACCAGAATGACATTACTCTGTTATGGATGATTCTGAGAAAGGATTTGATTTATAGCTGTGGACATCTTTTTCTGTATTTGAGAAAATGTAAGAGCCAGAGAAAAGTAAGAGCCAGAAAAAAGTAATTTACCTAATTTAATGAATACATTTGTCTGATATTTTATCAATGGCAAAGTACTTTTTGCCACTTGGCAAGGAGCCATGGTCTTGTGTTGGACCCTGCCAACAGAGAGGCAACTTACTTAATTCCATCACTTGCTGCCATTTGGTCTTTTAATTTCAGGCATTGCTTAGAACGTTGGTCCTTCAGAGCCAAAAGCAGCTAATCCTCCTTTCTGTGATTAAACAAAAAGAGAGGAAATCAGAAAAGGGATGTGAAAGAAAGTGTTTTATATTGAGTTATTACTCTGTCTTGTTCAGCAGAAAATGAATATGACCTGGTAAAGGGATTTTGCAGACTGTTTCTATAGAGACTAATAATGGCCAGACTTACAGATATACCTAATTGGAGACCAAATCTTTTATCAACTCTTTTTTTCTGACAGTATATTATCACTGTAGGGCAATTTACTTGAGACTTTTTTTTCTTATTCACTGTTTGTACAGATCTGGACTAGAGAGTCCCACGGCAGCTTTCGAGCTCTTGTATATTTACTTCTTTCTTTTAGACAAGAGAAAAGAAACTACAGATAGGTTATTTTATTAGGAAGCCTTTTTTTTTTTTTCCAATTAATTAGACCACAAATAAAAAGTAATTTTGCTGCCTGTATAGTTTTATTTATTAGCATTTAACTCCCAGACTTTCAGTGAAAGATGTGAAGAATTGCTACCTAATTTACAATTTTTATTAATAAATCAACATAGTTGCTTGCTGAAGGTAGAGCTGGGAAAATTGGTTGCTTTTCTGTTTGTTCTTCCCAATTTGAAAATATTGACATGTTTTTTTACATGCAGTCGTCTTCACTCCAACAACCTCTACTGTGATTGCCACCTGGCCTGGCTGTCTGACTGGCTGCGGCAGCGGCCACGGGTTGGGCTCTACACCCAGTGCATGGGGCCATCCCACCTGCGGGGGCACAACGTAGCCGAGGTCCAAAAACGGGAGTTTGTCTGCAGTGGTAAGGGAGACAGATTTGCTCACCGAGTCCTGTTTTAAAACACACCTACTGACAGTTCAGTGGTGACTGCCAGTGCTGCATGGTGCCTTTTGCTAGCTTTTGCATAATCTAAGTGTTAATGTTTATTAAAAAACAAACTAATCTCTTTTTATCGCTATTTGTATCCATTGTGGGGGTGCTGCTGTCCTTACAAATTTTGTGTAAATGCTGCATTCACATAGATTATATAGCCTTTTAATAGTAAAATTATGGGGCAGAGATGCAGAAAATGGAATAAAAGGTGCACTGACTGGGAACGTAAGGCCTTTAGTAATAAATTATTCTTTTTAACTTTATAGGTTGTTGCTTGTTCTTGTTATTTTCTCTCATTTAAATAATATTCTGAATCTCTAAGTAACTTTCTGAATGTTATTGGTATGCTTTAGTGCATCAGATTTTTTTCTGATATGAAATAATGAAATGACTAACAGTTCATTACTAATCACATTTTCTCTATTCATTTTTTTTTCCTTTATTCATATCTTCTAGATGAGGAAGAAGGCAAGTTTATCTTTCTTATTTCAATATTTTTAGACTCAGATTTAAAATTTTCTGTAAACTTTGTCTACTGTTTCAAGTTTCCTGAAAAACCTTAAAAACTATCTGTCTTTTCAGTGATCCAGCAGGGTTGCTTCTACTGGTTAATTTTCTGCAGAACCCCAGAAGCCTGTTGTGAATTATGCCAAAATTTGCATAGATCTATGCTTTTAAAAGATTTTTGTGGAGAGCACAGTGTTTTGTCCGTATTAAAACAGCCTCTGACATCAACGTTTAAGGCCATCTTCGCATGGCAAACGCTAATGGTACTCTTACCATCAGTTCTGCCTTTCTGTGCACTAAAAAGGGCTCCTAACAAGATAATTTCGTGTATCTTATTTTTTAAATGGTATGGCTGCAGAGCCCAAGTTTCAAGAACAGTTTTATAACTTGGTCATTATAATGCTGATTTTGAGGAAGGGAAATAACCATGTTTTCTCCCTGGATCACTGTATTTTGTTTGATAAAGGTAGGTGAAAATTTTCCTGCCTGTTAGTATTAAAAAAAGTAGTATGTCTCATTTGCTTTGGCAGCTCTTTGTACTTTTGTAACACATACATAAATATGAAATAAAATTATTGTATTATAAACAACTATCTCAAAAGACTAACCTTTTCATTAATTTAAAACTTGAGCAGTTGTTATTTGAAGTTGTAAGTAGGAACAGCACTGGCTGCAACTTATATTGTCAATGTACCCTTCCTGTGTTAATATATTACACATATATATGTAGTGAGAGATGCTAGATTAAGTTGTGATTTCATAGTCAAGAAGGTTGTTTTTTTTTCCTGAGAATTTCAAAACAGACTCTGGCTTTTTTTCTTTAATAAAAAAGTAAGAAAAAGAGGCCTTCATGCCTTTCTCATCCCATTGTACCTTTCCGTATCATTACAAAATAGCAATTCTGTATCATTAAATCGATACAAGAATGAGTGCATTAATGTATTATAAAATGTGCAATCTATCTATTTGAAGGAAATAGGAAAATATCTATTTGATAAGAAATATAGTAAGTTGTTTACTTTCTAAAACATACCTAAATATGAAGTGATTATGTTTAAATGCAATTATAAATGCCAAGTTTAACATATAGCACAAGTATCTGGGAGGAAAAAGTGAGTCATGTAAATTAGCCACCTGAGTTAGTAAGAATGGTAGATTGTGGGAGGAAGAAGTCTGCTGAGCTAACGCAGAGAATATGATCTGTGAAGCTGAAACTTTTACTCATGTTTGTGTGACTGAATGGAAATGTCGTAACTCCAAAATTGTCTGTAAGCGATGTATAGCTGAAGGACTATACTCAAATAAGTATTTGCAGAACAGAACATAACTAGCAGGACACCTTCAGTTTTTGTAGCCAAGTTCATTCATTTCTGTTGACGTGCATTTTTAATACTACACAATCTGAAAAATAAATAATTAGTTTTAAAAAACACAGAATCAATGAAATATAACTGAAAAATGGATGACAGTCATCTTTAACAAGATGATTTTAAATGTCAGTTGCTAAAGAAGTTGAAAAATTATGTAGTGCTAGCACAGTAGTTTAGCATTCATTTTTCATCTCTCAGTAATATCAAAATATTGCTATTAACTGAGTATTTAAATTAACACAATTCAAAAGTATTGATAGTCTACAATGTTTATTTTAGAAGTTCTGCCTTAAATTTTTCAAGGATTTGGAAAATGTGATGCTTTGCTGTTGAGGTAAACTGCACTACTGTTTGACAATATTGTGCAATTTTAGGAGAAATTCTTTGCCTTTGCAGGTCACCAATCCTTCATGGCTCCATCCTGCAGTGTCTTGCACTGCCCTACTGCATGCACCTGTAGTAACAACATTGTGGACTGTCGTGGGAAAGGCCTTACTGAGATCCCAACGAACCTTCCAGAAACCATTACTGAAATGTGCGTAATCTGACCTTTTTTTCAATGAACTTGCAGAAAACAGTATTTTCCTATGTATTAATTTTTGTTATTTTTATAAATTCATGTGTTATATCCGGTAGGAATTTTGGAATACACATTCAGATTCAGATATAAAAGAAAAATGCAGGCATATGAAAATATTTAAGACCTTTATGTTCTCTTATGAGTTAGTTTTGTATATACTACTCACAATCCATAGTTAAAACTGTCTTCTGAGTTGGTTTTTAAGAGTTCAGGAATCCTTGCTTTTCTGCAAGTGAGTGGCTTTTCACTGCAAGCTACAAACCCCATTGCCTTCAGGGTTGCTCGTTGTGCTGGTTTTGGCTGAGATAATATTAATTTTCTTCATAGTAGCTGGTATGCGGTTATGTTTTGGATTTGTGCTGAAAGGAGTATTGGTAACACACTGATGTTTTAGTTACTGCTAGCAGTGCTTACACAAAGCCAAGGCTTTTTCTGCTTCTCATGCCACCCCACCAGACAGTAGGCTGGAGGTGCACAAGAAGGTGTGAGGGGACACAGCTGGGACAGCTGACCCCAACTGACCAAAGTGATAGTCCACACCATACGACGTCAGGCTCAGCATATAAAGCTGGGGGAAGAAGAAGGAAGGGAACAACGTTCAGAGTGATGGTGTTTGTCTTCCCAAGTAACTGCTACATGATGGAGCCCTGCTTTCCTGGGGATGACCAAGCATCTGTCTGTCAATGGGAACTAGGGAATTAATTCCTTGTTTTGCTTTGCTTGTGTACACAGTTTTTGCTTTACCTATTAAACTGTTTTTATCTCAGCCCACGAGTTTTCTCACTTTTAGTCTCCCAATTCTCTCCTCCATTGCATGGGTTAGTAAGCGAGCGAGTGTGGGACTGAGCTGCCTACTAGGGTTAAACCACAGCACTCACCTTCAGTCACTTTATTCATCAGATTCCCTGTTTAGAGAAGCACATCTTTGCAAGAAACCATCAGCAACATATACCACCCATAATAAGTATTCTGCTAAAGCAGTATGAGGTCAGAGGATACTCTCAGAAGGCAAAAGTAAGGTGGTTGAATGGTATCTGTGGTATAGTCATCATGTTAATACCATGCACTTGTAGATAGAAAAGAGCATGCCTGCTGATAAGGTTGTGTGCCATCATATACAGCAGAAATATTTATAAAATGTACAGCCATCCCCTGACCATAGAGCAGAGTCATAGCAAAGGTGCTGTAGAGCTTGCAGGCTTCAAGAGCAATGTGACTGAGAGGTTATGTGGGCACAGAAAGAAAGTTACTGCTGCATTGTCTTCTGTGCAAGGGAGGAGCAAAAGCAAAAGGTGAGCTTGCTGGCAAGACAGACAGAGACTCAGCGTGAGCTTCTTTCTACACTGAAGATGGCAGAGGCAGTGTTTTGGAAGGGAATCTGGGAGTTCCATTTAGGGAAATAGTGGGAAAGTAGCTGTGCCAGCAACTGTGGTAAGGAGCATCTGGCTAGAAGTAGATGAGTTGGAGAGTGTATTCAGAAGAAAAAGCTTGTAAGCACCTTGATGATATAAGATGACGTTAAGAATTTCAGATAAGGAAGGTGAGGGGAACAGATGCCTGAAGTGAAAGGGAAGAGGTCTCCTGAACATACATCCTGTTGTACTTGAAAGTTTAAAAACAGACCTCTACAATGAGATTTTAAAAGATGAAGTAGAGTTTAACAATTTCAAGGCAATTTTATGGCTTGTCGGTATCTGACCTGTGCTTTTCAGCTTTGCAAAATTGGAGCTACTGTGGTTTCTTCTTAGGATGTGAATAATATCACATCTGTCAGTTCATTATTACTGCTGTTAAGACTGACCTCGCTGACCCTCCCTGACCCAATTCAGTCATTCATCTATATCATACAAACACTACATCTGACTTTCACCCCTCTCAGAAAAATACAGTGACTACTTCAGAAAATGCAGTGTTGCACGGACTGTTTTCGTTATTTAATGAGTTGTATACAGGCTTTTTTATTTGCATATATACAACTGGGTGCACAGAGAAGAAGGATAAATATTTCAAGAAAGAAGCAGAGAGTATGTCTCAAACATTCCCCACTATATTTCTGCTGCTAACCACTGGAGCTAACCACTGAATGGTGATTACAGACACTGGAAGACTGACTTTTTTATCAGTATCTTCTAGACTTACATAATTTAGTGGGGGATATGTGCTGTTAACGCCTATACTTCCTTGATTCCTGAATCCTTATTTTAAGGGTCATCACTCACAAAGAAATGATAGGATGTGGACTTGCTAGTTGACTCTGAATCCAGTATTAAAAGAAATTATCATAAGGTAAAAGCAAATGGGAATTTACAGAATGGAAAGGGACTTTCCACTAATCTATTCACTATACTTTCAACATAAGAAAAGCTGTTGTATTTTAAGCATGGACTGGTATGATCTTTAGCAGTTTATTGGCCTGAAGAGTAAAAGCAGCCACATAACAGTACCTCCAGCATTTGGCGAAGTACTTAACAGAGTGGAAACTGAGGCTTAATGTTTCCTGATAGGCTAGTCAGTGTTCAAATCCCAGAGCTGGGCCTTTTCACATTCTGAGATCCATAATCCATTACTACTGATAAATATGTATGCGTGTGCTCATATAACTATGTACAGTATATATACTGTGCTATACTGTATATACTTTATAGTGATATACTGTAAACTATTGGTTGTCTTTCTGTATTGTATCTAGTTTGTAAGTGCTGGCTAAATAAAATGCAGACCACAGTATTTTGCACAGGTCAGTAACACCGTGCATGCCATAAGACATGTGAACATACCTTTATTTAAAAGCTGGTGCAAGAAGAGAGAGAACATTAGAAAGCCAGACTTTAGTAATCATTTTATATTAAACAGAAACATACCAGTGAATGCCAGTGTGACAAGAAAACTGAAATTGGGTGATTGACTTAGATTTTGAGTAAAGCAGACAGACAGATTGAGATAGTAAAATAGATGTAAACAGAAGTACTTACCATACAGTGAGAACAAAACTTTCCAGTTGAGTGGAAGGTAAGGAGGGAAATGTACAGGAAAATAAAGAAATAAAATAAGGCATACGAAAGGCTCTGAAAATGAGGGATAAACTGAGTAAAAGAATTAGAGGATCTTGTATTTGATGAGAATCACATGATCTTTGCTGCTTCCTTGTCAATAGGTTGAAATTTTGACTAATAAGTGTATTTTAATGGTTGTATGGGGAAAGCTTTACACTATACTGGTTGCTTTAACCAGTATACTGGTTAAAGTATACTTTATACTGGGTGCTTAATGAGAGAGAAGAGGCTGGAGAATGAGTGGTTTACAGAGTAAAACAGGTTTTACCAATAATGAAGTGAAAGAGGTCTATGAAACTGGATCAAACCAGCATTCCACCCTGGCTGGTGGCCCACATCAGTTGTTCCTGAAGAATGTTTTGGAAATGGCAATATACACTAATAGGATAAATGTTTTCCTTGCTCACAGTGTGTGCTGGGGTTCTTTCTCAGAAACATGAAAATTTGCCTAGGTTTCAGGAAACATCAAATCTGCTTTAAATGGTACTATGTTCTTAATCTTCAGGTTATTGTAAGCTAATAAATTTTGAGGAAGGGGGTTGCACTCAAAATCTTCCAGTTTAAAATATAGTCTTCAAAAATTTCATTAATTTTCCTTTGTCTTTGTAGAGGGAGAGAAAATACATTCAGGTTTATAATTTGTCCTGCCACCTTCTATTTTACATGCCACCCTCATTTATCTCTTCTCTACATTAACTGTTCCAAGTCCGTTCAGTCTTTTTGGATGCCAAAGCTTTCCATGTCTTAATTAATCTCCTTTTTCTCTGAACTGTTTTCCAATTTTTTTTTACGTGCAATGACCAGAGTTGAATATAATATTCCAGATGATAGTGAACCATCACTTTATATTAATAGAATTTTAGTCTTCTTTCATTTGCCTTTTGCAACCTAATATTCACTTGCTTTCTTTAACTGACAATACAGGTCGCACCATGTTTTCCATTGAACTACCCGTGAAGAGTCGTAGGCCCTTTTTCTTAGCTCTTGTAGTTTTGTTAAGAAACAGAATTTTGTAGGTATAATCCTATTATTCCATCCACAGACATTTCTGAACATTGAATCTGGTTGCATGTTACTTTTGCATGAACTTAAAGGTGTTCTTTCAGAGACTTCAGTCTGCTTTTAACTAACTTCAACATGCAGAAAGATTATGACATTCCTATATTGTTATCATACAATAAAAAGTGTTTAAAAGCTTCATTTTTAAAGAAGCACTTCACAACTGTTGCTTATAGCAACCCCTTAAGATTATATTAGAAAGAATGATTGTATCCCATAAAATAATCTGATTTTTCTTTTGTTCCTTCTGTGGTAACATTGTCAGTATGCCAGAATGGTAGCTGACAGTAAACATTTGAAGAGATGAGACCATGCTGTCACAGTAGCATTAAGAATGCTGAGGAGCTGCTGAACGTGAGGCAGAAGGGTATAGTGAGCCCTGTATTTCCACCACCATTATATAGTTCCCACACACATGGCTTTATTATCTTAATCACCATTTTAAGCACATGCTTTGGCAGGAACTCTGCAGTTCTCAGGGAGAGAGGGAAAG